CTTAACAACCAGTGATTGAATTTTAATGATCTATGATTCATTTGAATCGCCATGTCAAGATGCATCTAATCGCACTAGTTTATGTCGTTTGCATCGATAGATAAAATGTTGTTTGCAAATTTCTCTAAACAGTAAAATGCAAATAACTTCTCATCCATTAATGAAAAAGACTTGCAATTCATAAATAAGATGTGAATCAAAGAGACAATTCCAATGAATCATAGATCATGAAAATCCAATTACTGGTTATTGAAACGTCGTGATATTTGTACATGCAAAAATTGATGAAATTGTTCAAAATTGTAATTTTCAGCAAGAATTTAAATTACATTATCTCAGTAACCAGTGATTAGATTTTAATGATCCATGATTTATTAGAATCGTCTTATTGAGACGCATCTATTTTATGAAATTTACGTCATTTGCCTTAATAGATAGGACAGTATTCACAAAAGTCTCTAAACAGTTAAATGCTAATATATTTTCGCCTATTGATGTAAAAGACATGAAATTCTTGAAATAGCTGTGACTCAATACGACAATTCCAAGGAATCAAAGATCTTGAAAATTCAATCACTGGTTATTGAATCGTTGTGATATTTGTACATGTAACAATTAATAAAATTGTTCAAAATTGTAATTTTTAGCAAAAAGTTAAATGGCATTATCATGAGAACCTGTGATTTGATTTTTACGATATATGATTCATTGGAATCGTCACATCAAGATGCATGTAAGCCATGAATTTCATGTCTTTTGCATCAATAGGTGAATAAATATTGGCATTTTATTAATTAGAAACTTTTGCAAATACAGTCAACGACCAAAATTATGCGAACAATTTTTTTTTACCAAAATTAGGCAGATTATCATATGATCACGAGATATAAACATTACATTTTTTTATTTATTTATATGATAAACATAAAAATAAATTTTTTTAGCTATTTTGCTTTTAGTTAAAGCTTTATGAAATTATAAAAGCACACATCCCAAAAACCCATGATGCTATTATTTATGGTAAAAAATGTGGACAATCAGGTCGCACTATTGCTAAAAATGTGGGATGTAGTAAAACAGCTGTTTATAATACACTTAAATGCTTTCGTCAAACTGGTTCTTCCACACCAAAAAAACAAACTGGCCGCCCACCACTCCTTAATATACCATCTCAACAAGAGCTTAAAGCTTTTGTTCAAGAAAATGGTGAAAATCTTTAGCTTTGTGCAAAAAAACTTTTAACTTTTTGCCACATCTCATTTAAAAAACACTATTTCTGCATTTACTATAAGTCGTACTCTTAAAAAAGTTGGACTTAGTGCTCGTATTCCTCGTCACAAACCTGCAATGACAGAAGCACATTGTCAAATTCGTCTTGAATGGGTTCGCATACATGAAAAATGAATAGCAAGACAATGGAAAAAAGTGCTTTTTTCAGATAAGAGTACTTTTACACAATTTTAACAAGGACGTCAAAGAAAAGTATAGCATGAACCAGGAGAAGAATTGAATCCTGATTGCATTTCAGTTACTGTAAAATACAGTCTAAGCAAAATGTTTTGGGAATGTTTTTCTTGGAATGGACTTGGACCAATTGTTCCTTTAAATGGTTTAGTTACTGGTAAAACACATGCTGAAACTTTTCAAAAATATATTGTTCCTACTTTGCAGAAGTATTTTCCTCATGATAATGGAATTTTCTAAGAAGATAATGCTGCATCGCATTGTTCAAAAGTTGCTGCGGCTGCTTATAAAAGTGCTGAAATTGTTATGCTTCCTTAGCCTGCCCAAAGTCCGGACTTAAACCCAATCAAAAATCTTGGGGCAGAAATGAAAATAATGGTTCGATGTCATACTCCCCCACCATCTAATATCTGAGAGCTTGAAAAATATATTAAAAATGCTTGAAAAGATATTTCTCTGGAATATTACAAAAAATTAATTGATAGCATGATTTGAAAGATCAACACAGTTATTGCCGCAAATGAAAATAGAATTAAATATTAATATTGAGATTTTTTTTGTAAAGATCAATAAATAAAAATAAAATAAATAAAATTTACCTTTATTTTATTTCCATTTTATTTTATTTATATAAATTTTTTGATTTAAAAAGTATTTGCATAATTTTGGTCGTTGACTGTACCATCCTATTCATTAATGCAAATAACATGAAATATTGCGATTAGATGTGTTTTAATAAGACGATTTCAATGAATTATTGATCACAAAAATCCAATCACTGGTTGTTGATATAATGCAATTAAAAGTTTGCCAA